ACAAACTCCCCTGTTCCACACTTCTACTCGATTTCTTTGCTGTCATCTCTGTCGAGTCTTGTTAAGTGAAACAATTGAATTGTTAACCGAACAATAAAGTATTTTATTATTATTAGATTTTTGCTTGCTGTTCTCAGCATTTGGCCATTGCCTTTTGTCGCAACAGTCGCAGCAACAGCAACAGCAACAGCAACAGCAACACGCACAGCATCCTCTGTTTGTTGGCCCTTAAGTGCCCTTACCCACCCCACCCCACCCCTCCCACTTCCTCTCTCTCTCTGTCTCTATCTTTGTCTCTGTCTCTCTCTCACTCTCTATTTGGCCAGGCATTTGGTTAGCGTTTGGCAACTGCCGGCTTGCGGCTGTCTCAAGTAGATTTCCGACATATTTCTTGCCTCTTGTTATTTGTCATTTGTTGTGCGTCTGTGTGTGTGTGTATTGTGTGTGTGTGTGTGTGTGCGACACTGTTCTTTTTACTTTTCCTTTCTTCTCTTCCCTGCTCGTTTTTTGTGTGTTGAAATTCTTGCGGTTGCTGGTCTCTTGTTATTGTAAGTATTGCCAAAGCGCCATTTAGGCTTTTTGAATTTATGACCATTTTGCGTTTTGTGGATACCCAAAACAACGTCGCACCACCCCTCCTCATTCTCACTTGGGGCAATTTAGGTTTTGTGACCTTTGACACATACACATACAACGACAGACTGAGAACCGAGCGAGAGAAAGCGTAGACAGTACGTGGTGTAGAACTGTGTTTTGATTTACGACCCAATGAATGGTCCACAAAGCGCGATGTGCTTGACCCACTTAAAAAAAATAAAATAACACCCCCTCTCCGACCACAGAGCCACTGTCACCCACACAACTGAAGATGTGCTACATCGACTAAGGCTGTGCTTCATCCACAAATCGATATTGATATTGAACATTTGAATGCTGACAAGTCAACAAATATGTAAAAAAAAAAAAGAAAGAAAGAAAGTAAAGAAAGTTTTCACGTTGAATAGTCTAGAAAACGAGTCAAGTCTCAAACAGTTTTAGTTATTCAAAAAAAGCAAAACTAAAAATAATACTGCAATCAGTTTTCACACATCAATCAAAAATAGGCTTACATCCGACCACTACAATTGTGGCTTCAAATGCAAATAGTCGGTGAATTGGAATTGAAAACAAAAGTATCTGGTTTCCAGGAGGAACTATTATTTGCTTATACAATATACAAAACATTAAAGCAACATCTCAATTATTGTATACCAAATGCAATTTAGTAAAAGGCAATAAAAAGGCTTCATTGGTATCAAAATAAATATAAATAAAGGTGTCAATTTAATGCCACAGCTTGACAATTACGCATTGAATGCTCATTGTGAAAGAGAGAGAAGCCCTTTGGGTTGATCAGGTTGGCCCCATTGACCCACTTGAGCCGTATTTGGCCGCATTATGCCAAGTCATTTAATATGTGTATGGCATCTGTGTGTGTGTGTCTGTTAATTGAGAAGGTCTTAAGACCAGCTCAGACTTCGTTACGGTCAGCATAAATGAGATTGTAATTGAAGCTGAATCACCTTTATTTCAATCTGCTTCAAATCAAACAGCAGTGTTGCAAAATATCGTCGAATTTATGATGGTTGTCGCTGTGCAATTAAATCGAGAGACAGAGAGAGAGCGAAAAAACTTCACTGATGCAATACACTTAATGTTTGACGACTTTTGGCTCACACATGGCGAGCAATTCAAGCCAAGATGGCGTATGCCGTTAAAAGCCAAGCCATCAAATTATGCAAGGCCAAAAAAAGGACAGCGGATAAAGGATACTGCTGCAGGATCAACTTGATGAAGGCAAAGTAACGATGTCGATGTCGATGTCGATGATTGCCCCGAACAGCTTACACAAATTGTGTGGCCAAGCAGACACACTGTACATTATATATATATATATATATATATATATATATATATATATATACTATACTATACTATATATACACTCAGCGAAAAACGTTGTTCTACCACAACGCGATATAATTTCTAGCTTACCAAGCATAATATTTGTTAAATAATTACAATATTGATTTGAATATTAGAACAACATTTTAGATATATAATTTTGTTTAGTGTATAGAGAGAGAGAGAGAGGGGAAGAGAGATATGCGCTTGAGTGCTTAATCAACTTGAGAGATTAACAAGTACAATAAAAATCAAAGCGGTCAGACGAATTAACGACGAGTGAAACAATGCAAAAGGCAAAGGGACTGAGAGATAGAGAGGGAGGGGGAAAGGTGTCGCATGCCGCAGCAAATTGAATGGAATGCAATCAACAGGCGCCACAAAAGTTGGCAACGCAACAAGCAGAAGAAGAAGAAGAAGAAGAACACGAATCGAAGGCCAGCGACGCACAAAATTTAATTGAAATGTTTGAAATGCAACAAAGTGGAAAAATGCCATCGCACACATATGTATGAATTTATGTATGTGTGTGTGTAATGTAGCAGCCAAGTGCAAGGACAACAAAAAAAAAAAGAAGAAGGGAACTAGGAAAGGGGATGGAGGGAAGGGGCGGAGGCGCGAGTGGGGAGGGGCAACATGGCAAACGGCAAATGTCGCGCTTCGATACAAAGACATCTTTTAATGCCATTCAAAAAAAAAAGTTGTTGTCATCGACTTTGTCCTTGGCACATACACACACACAGATAGACACACACAGATAGACACACACACACACAGATAGACACACACACATACATATACAGAAGGACAGACAGACAGGATATAACACAGTGAACACATAAAAGGCGTAAGCCGTAAAAGAAAAAATGTGCCAGCCACACGAATGAGAGAGATAGATAGAGAACGAGACAGCGTGAGAAAATGAGAGAGTGAGAGAGAGAGAGAGAGAGAAAAAGAGAGGCAGAGGCAGAGAATGCAAGCAGATGGTAGACACAGACGCAGACATAGAGAATCCTGGACAGAGGCCAACAACAAGGACATTCCTAGCCGTAGCCATGCAGAGCCCAAAAAAAAAAAACAGGCAACTTTTGATGAGCATCACAAGTTTCATGCCACCAATAGTTGCGCCGTTGCCCCGTTGCGCCGTTGCCCCGCTGCTGTTGCTGCTGATGTTGCTGCTGTTCTATTATCCTTAAGTAAAGTCCTTGCTGCATGTTTACAAAGTCGTCCAGGTAGCCACACAGCAGTATACACACATTACACAATATGCGAGTATTAAGTTTCTTTTGTGTCTATTCAGTCTGCTTACATCTTCCTTGCTTCACTCAATTTTATTTGTATGCAATCTGTAACAGCTTAAATACACTACCGACATATATATATAATACTCCGATGCACAACATGATTAGTTTAGTGAGATGAGGCATTTGGACATTTGATGCCCATTAAGCATGAGCTGTTGTTCGATTCAATGTTGCAGAATATATTCTAGAACTAATGACAAAATCCACTTTAATTGGTTTTAAATATCATTCAAAACATTTTCAAATCTGTCTGCCTGTCAGCCAGCCTGTCTGTCAGCCTGCCTGCCTTGGCAGTTGTTGTCCTGGCAATCCTCGGCACTCTCTAGTGCTGAACAGCGAAAACTGAAACGAAACCAGAAAGATCGTCGAATCCATTGCATATCCGAAGATTTTATACCCTGCCAGACCGCAGTTAAGCTGCCAACAGTCAAAAATTGGTTAGGAATTTGCAAAAAATTGTCAAATCAAAAAATTGCATTTCTATGTTTTGTGTTGTACGTCTTGCTGTGAACTTAATATACGATATTTGTATAGTTATATTGTTTCAGAAAAGGTGACACGTTGTATTTCCTATGTTATATAGTGAATCGATCCAGTCGGCCTCGAAAATTAGATTTTACATGTAGAAATTAATCAAATATCAAAGCTAAACTTGTAAATCATATAGATTTCTGGCCAACTTGTATATATATATATATTTATATATAAATATAATATAATACAAATATATATATATATATATATAAACATACACTTATATATAGTCTATATTCAAGAAGGCGAAAATGAGTGCAACGAGGTCAGCGAATGCAACGAACCGAACAAATTCGAATGCGAATGCGAATGTGAGTGTGAGTGTGAGTGTGAGTGTGAATGCGAATACAAATGGTGGATAGAATCCTTTCGCAATTGTTTGAAAATCATTTGAAATGATTTTTACATTTCATTGTAGTTCCATTTATGGTTGAATTTTGCATTTGCCGTTGCCTGTTCTTGCTTTCGCTTACGGCTCATTTGTGGCATTTACGGATCAAAACTTGACCGGTCATTTGCGAGGGACGTGCTTTAAAGTGCGCACAACGCCCCTGGCAACTCACAAATGTTCAATTTCAAATCCATTGAGAACTGCACAGATGTGAATGCATTTGACTTTTAGTTGGCGTGTCTGTGTGGCAGATATATATATATATATATACATATATATTAGTATGCACAATTCAATAGCTGCGGTTGCCGAAGCATAAATTGATTTTTATTGTGGCAGCAATCACTTTATATATATATGTATGTATATATATATATATATTTATGCAAGAGTAATTGATTACATTTATGATGATTTTGCATTTTGTAAGTGTATTTTTATGAAGTTATGCCAATTATGTTAAAGGCAGACGAAAGCATTGTTGACCTCTTATTGTGTACCCCTTTCCTGATCAGCATCAGCATCGACAGCCGAGACGATCTAGCCACACATTTAAAGTTTTAAATATGCTAGTAAGCCATAAGCAGCTTGATAACTTTCTGCGATAAAAATCGATTGACGAGAAACAGCTTTTCAATTAATATATAATTGGACGCTAGCGTATTAGTTATCAGCTATAACTACTATCAGTAAGCCTACTATGTATTTAACACAATATCTTGTTTCTGCATATATCATATCCTTCTCCTTATCCCTATTACTCCGATCCCTATCTCTATATTTGTCCTTTAATTTGTAGTAATAATTAGTTGAAAAGCGGTACTCACATAGCCAATTCATGCGCTCCGTGTACTCAACCTTGCGCTTGAGATCCTTGACAAGGGCGCGAAAGTCATCGTCATTGAAATGACACTGGATGATGGTGTTGTTTAGCTGGAGAATGCTGTACTCATTGTTGCCATTATTCGATGCCGCTGCATCTGCAATTGCAGTCGTTGTTAATGCTGCTGCTGTTGCTGCCGCATCCTTGGCGCCGCCACCATTTACCGAGTTGCTCTCAATATCTGTGGCACTGGCCCGCAACTTGTTGTTGCTCAAATTGGCTGCAAGCAGACCTGCCGCATCGCCATCCACATTGCTGCAGGACTTGCTCAGTATGATGGTCGATCGATTGGCAATCGAGTTGGCTGCCAACAAATGCTCGCCAGCAGCACCACAGCTGCCGCGATGCAACTTACCCCCAGCTGTCGCCGCAAGTGCAGCGCAATTGTTGTTCTTCAGCGTGATGCAGTGCAGCTGGTTGCTGGTACAATCGCTGGCACGACGGCGACGCGGATTATCCGCATCGGCGTGAGTGGCATGCAAATATGAGCGAGTCAGCTGCTGCTGCTGCTGCTGCTGCTGCTGTTGTTGTTGTTGTTGTTGTTGCTGTTGCTGACTAGTGCTGCCACTGCTACCGGCAACAATATCAGCTGCTGCCGCTGCTGCTGCTGCAGCTGCTGCTGTTGTTTCCATCATATTCGACATTGATGTGGACATGGTTAAGGAATGACCGTTGCTAATAATGCTGCTGTTGCTGTTGTGCGTGATTTGGCGATTGCTGCTGATGCTGTTGTTGTTGTTAATGCTAATGCTGTTGTTGTTGTTATTGTTGTTGTTGCTATTGTTGTTGCTGTTGCTGTTGCGATTATTGTTGTTTAGATTATTTAAATTGTGATCGTTGCAGGGCAGTCGACACCGTATGACAGTCAGCCTGCTGCGATGATCCTGATCCTGTTCCTGTTCCTCGTAAAACTGTATGAGCAACTCCTCCAGCAGCGCAATGGGCGTGGCTGCCGTTAACAAAGACGCACTGTTGCACGAACCAGTCAAGGAGGCACACGTGGAAGCGCAGCTGACACTGCTGCTCGACGACTTGCGTCGCACGGTTGTTGTTGCTGCTGTTGTTGTTGATGTTGCTGCTGCCTCAACTATCTCCTCTATATGCACTTCTTCCTGCTTCTGTTCGGGCTCAAAGCTGCTGCTCCGACTAAGAATTGCGACTGTTGTTGTTGTTGCTGTTGCTGATGCTGATGCTGATGCTGCTGATGCTGCTGCTGCTGCTGCTGTTGCTGCTGGTGCTACTGGTGCTACACCAACAACCGCTGCCGCTGCCGCGGCCAGCAGCTGTGCTCGTTCCCGTTCGCGTCCTGGATCGAATATGGAGTGCTTGAGTACAATCTCCTGCAGCTGGCGTCGCTGCCGCTGCGCACTGTATGGATTGCTCAAGTGGAAATTGCCGTAATATTTACCCAAGCAGCGAACACGCGATGCAATATATCCGATTTCGCGCAACAATCGCACATCGGCGTTCACTTGCTGTTGCAATTGTTGTTGTTGTTGTTGTTGTAGATGCTGCTGCTGCTGCTGTTGCTGCTCCTGTTGTGCAACATGTCCGCAGCAGCTATTGCTGCTGTGGGAGGAGGGCAAACGGGAGCCCTGCGCCGTCCGGCACTCAATATCTGGGTCTAGCTCTAGCTCTAGCTCCCGATCCAGAACTACATCAATATCGGTTATATGGGCGTCGACATCAGCGAAGATGTCGTTGTTGTCGTCGTCACTGCTATTGTTGCTGTCAAGTGCCGATGTTGCTTTGGCTGTTGCTATCGCTCTTGCTGCTGCTGCTGCTGCTGTCGTTATCACTGTGGTTGTTCGTGTTGTTGCTGTTGTCTCGCCAATTTGCGCATCAGCAGCTGTCGTTGTTATGCTTGTTGTTGTTGTTATTATTGTTAGCGCCTTAAAACCGTCCGTCTTTGCTGTCTCGCTTCCCGCGACCACTGCTGCTGCTGCTGTTGCTGTTTTTGTTGTTGTTGTTGTTGTTGTTGCTGTTGCTGTTGCCGCTGCTGCTGCTGTTGCTGCTGCACTGCCACGTCGACTACCGCTGCTGCAGCTGCTGTCCTGGTACATTTATAGGCAAAACCTTGCGGCGCTTGCTTTTTGCTATTGTTTATTCTTCTACTTGTTGTTGTTGTTGTTGTTGTTGCTGTTGCTGCTGTTGTTAGTTTGTTGTTCTGGTGTTTCGACAATTTGTTGTTGCTTTTGTTGTTGCTAATGTTGCATGAATAATTGTTGTTGGATGCTCTGCTTACGCTGTGGATGTTTTCTTTATTTTTTTTAGTTTTTTTGTAATTTATATTTTTGGCGCACAATTTGTTGCTAATGTTGCGTTGTCCAGCTGCAAAATTATGCAAATTTTTGCTGGCTGTTGCTATCTACACCGTGTATTCTTTGTGAGTCCTGTTCGAGTCCTGTGCGAAATCAATTCAGTGGAAAAGTTGCCGCCACTTCGCGCGCCTCATTTACATTCCACATCTCCCCCACTCTCTCTCTCTCTCTCTTTCTTTCTCTCTCTCTCTCTCTCTCTCTCTCTCTCTTTCACTTGCACCCTACAATCTACTCGACTCTTTCTCTCAAGCTTGTTGCTGCTGCTGCTGTTGTTGTTGTTGTTGTTGTTGTTGTTGTTGTTGCTGTTGCTGCTGTTGTTGTCGCGCTTCCGTGTTTTACATTTTATTGTATTTTAATTTGCATTGTTTTCAACTGTCGACTCAGAACTCAGAAATGATTCTTCTCCTTCGTCTTCTTCTTTGTCGGTTTTCTCACTCAGCCGCTACCTCTACTTCTTCTTCTTCCGCTGCTGCTTTTTACTCTTTGGCCTGACTTCCGCTTCCGTTTTGATTGCTGCCGGTGTTGATAGTTTCGTCACTGCAATAATACCAAATGCATTCAATATTAATTAGAAGTTGTTTGCAGTATTAATCAGCATTCAAATATATATATGAAAATATGTTGCAACAATTAATGATTTTCAAATAGTATTTAAAGCTAGCTTTAAAGTTAACTTAAGTTCTAGAAAAAGACACCGTGTGTAAAAGAAACGAAATTTTAAATCAAAATTTAAATCAAAAAGTTATCAAATAAAAGTAAATTGAGCTGTCAATCAATCAATATAAAAGCGACAGCTACCACATTGATCGATTGATAGAAATGTACAAAGTCAATTAAATGATATACGCAAATCAAAAATAACAGCAACAACAACAATAATATTTGCAGGAATATTTGTAGTCAACACAAATACAAATACATTTTCACATATTTCACAACACTGTTTTCGATTCCTTTCTGCTGGTCATCTATTGAAAGGGGCCCAGATGGAACATATACATATATATATATATATATATATATATATATATATATCGACAAAAGACAAAGGGCACTGGTACCCAAGGGTTCTATCTGAACAATAGTAATTCAAGAGTAAATACTACACTCCCTTGTAGCCGACTATGCAATACTCTATGAGATATACATGAGAAATAACAAAACTATATAGGATTTGATCTAACTCCTCCCTCCCAGCAGAAAAAGCTGCTGTGCTCAGGCAATGTTTGACTTTGGACAATTTAGCGTCTGCGAATTGTTGTGATTCTAGTTTGGCAGCTGTACTAAACCAATATACACAAATGTCCACCCATTGTAAACATCATGAAAAGAAACAGTAAAGCAGGAGCAGCAGCAGCAGCAGGATCAGGAGCAGGAGCAGGAGCAAGAATAATAGGAGCAGCAGCAGCAGCAGCAGCAAATGTCGAGGACGTTGACAATGACAGCAAATGTCAAACAGTTGCTTCCCTGTGGCTCCACTGCGTTAAGTGCAACGCTATATGTGTGTGTGTGTGTCTTTGTGTGTGTGTGTGTGTGTGTGTGTGTATGTGTGTGTGTGTGTGGTCAGTTGCCTGGGGAATCGCCAGCTTGCAGCCGCTTTGCTTTCTATTTGTCTTTGTGTCTGTGGGTTTGTCAGACTATCTGTCATCTTTGTAAGCAGCTCGTTTTGCTGACAAGACAAAGCGGCAAAGCTAACTGCTGAATGCCACATTCCACATGCCACATGCTACATGCTACATGGTGCATGGTGCATGGTGCATGGTGCACGGTGCATGGCGTATGTTGTGTAAAAGCATTAAAACAGCCACTGCAAATAGCGCGAGTCAATAGCAACTTGCGAGGCAGCCAGAGTAACGATTACCAGTTGCCCTGGAGAGAGCTTTTTCTAAAGTTAGCTAGACAAATCAGTAGATATTATACGCTTGGTATACTAAACTACTGTAATACCCTGTACGCGAAACATATACCCATTACACATATGTTTGTATATATGTATAAATGTATGTGTATGGAATGGGATACTTTTTGGGAACTATATAAAGCTAATGGCATAGCCATTTAGCATGACTGCTAACTACCCTATAGATAATACGAGGAGAGTGAAAAGGATCCATCAAAACATGACAATCACTTATCAATTAAAATTAGTGTTGATTTAATTATAGAGTTCAAATTCTGCTAACATATGTTTACTGCATGTCTTATAGGAAAACAGGTTTTTCCACACACATAATACATAATACATACTTGAATGTGCATGTATCTATCTTAACTATAAATTCAAACGCATTCAATCAATGTAAGAAAATATTTCATTGGATTCCAGGGCTGATTACCTTCCCAATTCCAGAGATACACTCAACTCAACCTACAAGTGCCGTCCAAGTGTAGGAATAATTCGGTTGGCTTCGAGTGCCCAACGCATTGCGAACAGTTAACGTGGCATATTCACAGTGAAAGCACAGTAAAGTGGATGAAGGACCTGCATGTACACCTTTCCATCCTTTCGAACTGTGTCTCTGGCTGTCTCTCTCCTGAACTGTGCTTCCTGTGGTATTTGAGCAATTTTCGGCGGTCAAACGGTCGAGGCACCAAAAATGCGAATGGCATTCAGACTCAGTTAGACAGACAAACAGATGGATGTGTATATGGATGGATGAGAGGTGGCTTTTGGGGGTTGTGGAATTGCTTTGGAGTGGGTTTGCACATTTTTTATGTGTCATATTTATGTGTGTCGCTTATGTATACACAGCAAAAATATATAGCTCTTCTCCAAAATCCAGTTCGAAATTGACAAAATATAGGCATCAAGCTGTAGTTTTATTCGCAATACGTCACCTGGTATATATACAGTATAACAATAAGAATATCTGTGATTTTCTGTTGCGGTTGTTTGATTTTTTTTCAGTGTAACTTGGAGAACTTGTTACATTTAATTATGGGGCTATTTGAGTAAAGCTCCTGAACAAATACGATCAAATGGCACACGCCGAGCTACTACATATATTTATGAGTACATATAGAGAGTGGTGCTCTGGGGGCAGGGGTGAAAGTGTCAATATGGAGCCGCAAGTGGTGGTGTTGCTGTTGTTGCTGTTGTTGTTGTTGTTGTTGTTGTTGGTGCTGTCATCTGGCTGACAAAACGCAAGCGGAAAAAAAGCAAAAACCGCTGAGGACGCAAATGCGGCCTCGTATCCAAAACACACCAGCCAAGTTTCCCCCGAGCCAAAAAACACCGCCTGCAATGCCCCACCCCCTTCCGGCCACCACATATATTGGGTGCACACCCCCTATGCGGGCAGCCAGACAGACAGACAGACAGACAGACAAAGAGAGAGAGAGAGAGAGATGCGGACAACCTCAACGAATGTGGCCAACTGTTGAATGGTAACAACAATTTTGGCTACCTGCCAAGTTGTTGTTTGTTGTTCGTTGTTATTGTTGTTGTTGTTGGTTTTTGGGTGTTTGTTGTTGTTGCTGTTGTTCGTTTTGGGGTACTTGCCACTTTATTTATTTACGTCTAAAATGAGAGCAACGGAAAAAGACAGATGAAAACATCAACAACTGAAATGAAATGCTTTTTTAATAAGCTTTAGTTTTTGGCCAAAAACTAAAAGCCAAAAATATTAAATGCTACTCTTCGCTCCTCTACAGCGTATACCCTGTTTCTTTTTGGATTATAGACTTAATGCCTTGATGGATAGGTAGAAAAACAAATGTAACATATCAACGACAGTTTGATCAAAATTGAATGTGCATTAAAAATTCTAAGCCAGAGTTGCTAAACCGATAATTAATAAATAAATGTCTATTGAAAGAATTCCAGTTTATATCAACTGAATAATAAATAAGTGGCCCCAATTGACTTCTGACTGGCAAATATGAGCACATGCTAAATGGAGGCGTGACATTTGGATAGACTGCCGGCCGGAAGGGACCATTGACAAAGCACTTAGACAGCCCCAGTTACACTGCTACCAAATGCAAAAAGGCGTGTCAACTCTGGAAATGTGCAGGTGTTTTAAATGCGTCAAATGTGCAGCCTACTATTAGGCACAGACCGAGTCGGAGACCGAGTCCGAGACGGAGACGGAGACGGAGACGAAGACGAAGGCGGAGACGGGAGAAAGATAAAGTGCCCGCATTATGCAAAAATCAATATGAGCATACAGGGTCAACAACGACAATGCAAAGTTGAAATACACTTCATTTAATATAATACTCCAATATATTCATTTTTTTCTTTCTCAAGTGCAAATTCTTGCTCGACAGTAAAAATAGTGGTGAAGACACAGAGAGAGAGAGAGAGAGAGAGAGAGAGAGAGAGAGAGAGAGATTGAGAGAGAGAGAGAGAGAGAGAAGAGAAAACAAGTTTATTTTTTATAATAATGATTTTTTTTGCACTTAAAAATCTTGTGATAAATCAAGTTGCAATATTGACAGAAGAAAGGAATTGAAAATTCCAACAAATTGGATGGAATTATTTGCTTTCGAAATGCTCCCTTTGCGTTCAATGCTTAGTCATTAAATTAAAATGCCCACTTTAAGGGTAGTTAGCCACAAGCCACGCACACACACACACACATGCACCCACACACACCCACATACACACACACACACATACAGACAAACAAGCGAAAAGTTGAAATGCTGCAACGGCGGCGACACACATTTTGCGGTTGATATGAATATCGATTCGGCCCGTTTAACTGTGCTAGCAGTGTGTGTGTGTGTCTGTGTGTGTGTGTGTGTGTGTGTGTGTGTGTGTGTATAAACTAGAACTTTGTATAAATTTATGTGCACAACAATGTTTATGTTGTTGAATAAACGAGCAGTTTTGCATATGCGGCCAGAGCAGCCGTGAAACCGGCTACCCTCTGCAGAAGTGTGTGTGTGTGTGTGTGTGTGTGTGCGACGAGTGTATGTGTGTGTGTATGTGTGTGTGTGTAATGGCAGGATGCAACATGAAAATGGCGTGCGGTTGGCAACGTTTTATTTGCCAGCTGCAGGAGTGCCTTGTACCCATTGGAAATGTGTAAAACAGAAAGGGTAGCTTAAGTTTTAACTAAGGAGATCTCTTTTGACTGCATAGTTTGATCTGTAAAAGCTGAAACTAACATTATTGTTCGCTGTACAAAAACAATTTATGTTGTGTCCATAACAAATGCAAAAACCGATAAATATCGATAGGCAAACTCCATTATTTGAAATAATATACGTTTGTGTGAGATACAGATCTAAAAACTGTTTCTTCTTTTGTTTAAAACATCACAAAGGTATCCCAATTCAGCGTTGGCATTCCCCTAGATATATACATAGATATAGATATAGATATAGACTGGTTTGTATTTGAATGTAATTCTTCCCCATGCGCCACAAATTGAATGAGAATGCCAGAAGTTATGTAAGCATGAAGTATTCATAGTTGTTGTGAATTGATGCTAGTGTTGGGTATACAGGGTATTTGACAGTTGTTCAATATCCAATATCTAATCAGCAGTACTTGCTTTCTCTTAGCTTTATTTGCTTCAGCTAGT